AGCCGGTGGAATGGACTCACTAACTCAGGAAGACTTTTCTTCCATCGGTTCATGGATGAAGGCAGCTCTTTGTTGTGTGGCTTCAAACCAACTTTCATTTTGTTTTAAATCTCTCCCTTTAATCCACCCTACCCTTATTTAAGTACCTCAAACATACCAAGTTTTCTCTTCCTTTTGGGCCTTCCTTGGTGCCCTTCCCTCTCACTGGAACAACCGACCTCACCCCATGAACCCGACTTTACTCCTTCAGTTCAAAGCTTGGATGGTAGTTTCCTAAGAAAGGAAGACTCCCCTTTTATCCCCAATGAGGTGAGCTGCCTTGATCTGTGCTCTTAGAGATTTTCATGCTTCTCTGCCATCAAATTGCCATGTTTGTCTGAAGTAAGTTTCTCTTACTGAACTGTAAGTTCCCCAAGGGCAGAACTGCATCTGCCTTGTTTACCTCTATGGAAGCAAAAGTCACACGGATCCTATTTAAGTGGAACTTCTTCCTTTAGAATCACATAAGAGCCAACAAGGTAAAATTTCCAACATCATTTTTCCTAATAACCAGTTGTTGAAAATGTCAGTATCCTTTTAAAAATATCATTCTCAGGGGCGCCTGGGTGACTCAGTCGGTTAAGCATCTGACTTTGGCTCAGGTCATGATCTCACGGTTTGTGGGTTTGAACCCCACATTGGACTCTGTGCTGACAGCTCAGAGCCTGGAGCCTGCTTTGAATTCTGTGTCTCCCTCTTTCTCTCTCTCCCCCATTCTCACTCTGTCTCTCTTTCTCTGTCTCTCTCCCTCAAAAAAAAAAAAAAAACATAAACATTAAAAAAATATCAATCTCCATCTTTGAAAGGCAGAGAGACTAAAAGCAAAAACAAGTTTATCTTTTCAACACCTGGGGAATGGCTGGAGAGAATTAGTAGATTTCTTTTTCCCTATTGCATCTTGGCTCTCAGTGGATTCTACTTGTCTTAAGTTTTAGGAGCCCAGCATGTCATCAACATGTTCTCCACCAGAAGAGAAGTTAAAAATTATACTTTTCATCACCTGATATCAAATCATCAAGTTGAGTCACCTCTACTGGTGGGACCTGTGAAGTAGCACACTTGGAACTTAGCGACATCACCATTCACCAAACCAAAGTTGGAGCCAACAGTTCTACCCCTGGCCATGAACCATCCAGTTTGGCTGCTCAGAGCGATGTGTCAGCCTCCTCCCTGATCACGAGCTTGGAGGCTGGCTAGCCAAGCAATACTCCAAGCATTTCCAGGCATGGATAGAAAGAAAATTACACTTTGCATTCAGTGTCTTTCAATCCATGTTGTAATTCTGGGAAGCCCTGCCACCTACTTTAAATGTTCTAGAGAGAAACATGAAGGAATGAGGTGCACACACATCATTTTCATGACTGTTTTCAGTGCAATAATTAGACAGTTGCAGTATGCAGACTTGCATGGGGGAATTGCCATCTTACCAAAGTGGCAGAATCAATCCTATGGAATGGGATATGGGGGGAAGGTCTTAGCATTAGCATAGAGGGAAGTGCTGGCGCAAGTAGCCGTGGGCTGCTGGGATGCTGAGGGCAAACATTAGAACCCTGCCTTATTTTAAGCCTGGCGGGGAAGACCGGAAGAGAGATAGCAGCAGGTCAGGGAACAGGGGATAATGTTGAAACGTTTTTAATTTTGTTCACATGGGAGAAATAAGGGAGGGGAACAATATGGTGGGAAGTTCAATTACGAAGAGGAGTAAAGGGAACCTGGGTGGCTCAGTGAGTTAGGCATTCAACTCTTGATCTCAGCTCAGGTCTTGATCTTAGGGACATGAGTTCAAGCCCTGTGATGGGCTCCACACTGACTGTAGAGCCTACTTAAAAACAAAACAAAACAAAAAAAAAGTGGAGGGAAGGAAACGAAAAATAACCACTGAGCACTTGCACTTTCAGGAAGGTTCTATAATAAATAACGTAAAGGGAGAGCTATATAGGTAGAGCCAGCTATAACTGATAAGAGGGCCATGGTGTCTACCTTCTGTGTGAGCACAAGTTGCTAAGAGGCCTGAAGAACCTTCCTCCGCCAGACATTGGGCTCTTATGCAGGCCCTGTAGAGTCACTTACTCACTAAGTAGGCTCCTCAGCTCAGGCTGAACACAAGTGGTAACAAAACTTTTTCTAGGATACCATATAGAATGCCCACTGGCATGTCTGTGCCAAGCTAGCTCACAAGAATTTGAAGTGAACTTGACAACTAAGGATCTTTAGGAAAAGCCAATTGGTCACTATTAAGCACAAAAATCTCTCCCTTGCAAGTTTCTTTGCCTCACTCAGCTGGCCATTGCCCTGGGGAATTAAAAACCATATGGAGAAAGTCACCATGCTTTTCCTCTTTCTCCTCCACAGTGGCCACCACAGTGGCCCAGAGTGGTGTGCTGGAGCCACAGAGGTGACCTAGCACAGGGTATTGGAACCCAAGGTGGGTAAGGAAAATAGGAGACTGGTTACATAAGGAAAGGATTGATCAAATAATAAATACATCAAGGGCAGTAGGAACCAGGTTTGTTGTCAAGAAGGAGGTTACAGATATGGGGAGAATATGAGCCCTGTGGGATTAGATTAGAGTTAAAGGTATCAGGGTGAGCTCATGGTTGTCAAGATAGACAGGTAGGTAGGTGGACAGAGAGACAGAAAGACAGACAGAATGTGTGTATATTCTCTAATTCTGTTCTTTGAGAGTGCCTGGGAACAGGCACACCAAGCACCCAGATTTTGATTTCTAAATTCCATTCTCCACTAACAGGAATTAGTGCTGTTTCAAGAAATGGCTGATTTCAGGGTTAGAAAAGTATCAGATGAGACTGGAACATATTGTGGTGTCAGAAAGTGAGGACATATCCATAGAATAATGAGATCATGTCAAAAGGACATGAAGTTAGCTTGAAAAGGCTCTCATAAGCTGTATCGAGACAAATCAAGAATAAAAATAATAGAAATGGATAACCCACTAAATATAATAGGAACCCACAAGACCACACTTACATAAATAGATACATGAATAGATTGCAAGTTTGATGAGGAGTAGGATAAAGATTACATAGTACAAAAATAACTCTGTACAGAATATTTATTAATGTTTATTTATTAGTTAAAAAATTTTTAATGTTTATTTATTCTTGAGAGAGATTGAGATTGAGAGAGAGAGAAAGCACAAGGGGGGGGGGGGGGGGCGGGGCAGAGAGAAAGGGAGACACAGAATCCGAAGCAGGCTCTGGGCTCTGAGCTGTCAGCACAGAGGCCAATGCAGGGCTTGAACCCACAAACCATGAGATCATGACCATAGTCAAAGTTGGACACTTAACTGACTGAGCCACCAGATGCCCCATGTTTATTTATTTATTTTTGAGAGAGAGACAAAGCATGAGTCGGGAAGGGGCAGAGAGAGAGACAGAAGCCGAAGCAGGCTCCAGACTCTGAGTTGTCAGCACAGAGCCTGACAAGGGGCTCATACTCATGAACCTGAGCTGAAGTCGAACACTTAACTGACTGAGCCACCCAGATGCCCCCAGAATATTTACTAATTTACAAAGGACAAAGTAATTTTACTCTAGAAGCTTGTAAGACACTCCCTCAATCAAGTGATCCAAGTTAATACTATATGAAAAAAAGTCAACATCTGTCCACGACTGGATACAGTGAGAAGAAATAGCAACGTTTTTGTGGTATCCCTACCAAAGATCCATAACCTGAATGTGCTCGTGGGAAAGTACCAACAAATCCAAAATTAAGTACATTCTACAAAACTGGGGAGAACGGAGCATCATGTTGGCAATTTACTCTCAAATGGTTCATGATAAGATATATGTACTGTACTTGGGAACTTTAGGTTGAGACTGTTTCAAAATTTAAGAATTAATAACCAAAAGAGTTACCTTGAGTCACTGTAGATTTGATGGAAGCCAAGTGTCAAGATGGGATTTAGAGCTGGATAAACCAAGTCAAACGCCAACAATTATATGTTAGGGTAATGCTTTTTAGGTAGTCTCCAGGGAAAGAAGTTCCCCCCTCAGTCCATTATGAACCAATACTTTCGAAAAACACAAAATTCCACACTTGGATTTGAGGACAATACCAAGAATTTTCAAATGCTTGCTCTCCATCTCTGTACTTATTCTCTGCGTGGACCGGTAATGAACAGTCCAGGAACTAGTCCAGATCACATTTTGAGTAGCACTTCTCTGCAGTAGGATGTGTGGACCTCTGAGTGCCACCATATTCAAATGGGCAATAAAAACCACTGGTCACACCTTTATCCATAATGGTAGCAACATCACCACCATACTTAACATCAACCGTTTATACAAAGTATAGAAAGGGACTGCCCAGGCAATGGAAGGGGACTAAGGGCCTGCCTTTATAAAGAGCCGCTCAATTTCTCCAAATGTGTCATAGGATAAGAATGAGTGAGACCGCCCCTGACTCCAAAGCAATTGCATTGTGATGACGAAAAGGAAGACCAATCCAATCATACAGAAGAGGGACAAAAACATCTTCTATGGGTCGATCTGCAACACTGGGTCCTGACTGTCATTGCTAGGAAGGGACCTAGCACTCAGAAGGCGTTAGCAGAGCACATCCTCCCAATCAGATGGGTTTAACTACAGATGTTAAGGGTCAAGCTACTAACTCCAACACAGTCCACACATGGGCTCACTCTGACATCCTGCCGCTCCCTCAGCCAGAGGCAGCCCTTTCAAATAAAAGAGAACAATTCTCTACTAAACCAAACCCAGAACAGCACAATGAAAAAGGAGCTGTTGCATCCTCTGAGAAATGGCACACCATCCAGGCCCAGGGTTCTTCTGATTCCAGTTGGACATACCTGGATACAAAAACTATGTGTCAGCCTCCTCCCCCTAGCCCCCCCCCCCCCCAATTCCATCTACACACAGAGGAAGCTCCACAAAGATACATGTAAGCTGGAATCAACCGATCTCCACGGCGTCTTTGCTTACCTGGAGCGGTTTTGTAGCATGATGTTCGGGAGGGCAGTGATGGGGCGTTCTTTGCCCTGGGGCTCTGGGTATTCTGTAAGACTTGTCTCTGCCTCTTCAGCTCCTCTTCCCTTTCCTGGGCTGCTCGGATCTCTTCTTCGATCATGGACAAAGTCCGCTGCTTCCTCGACCTCAGCTTGAAGGGCCCAACCATCACATCGGACTCTTGAGTGGCCAGGAGCGAGGCTGTGCTCCTCAGCTCAGCTGCCTCTGAGTACTTGCTGAAATAGCTCCCTTCCGGTCTGGTCTCCTCCATGTTTATTGGGCCACTGGGCTGTACTGCTGGCAGCGGCTGGGTGGGCCCCCTTTCCCTGAGTGCCCGGTCTTCAGCAAGCAGAATCTTTGGTAAGACCTCCCTCTTCTCTTGAACGGGAGAGGACACCTGAGGTGGTTCAAACATGCTCTGGGGCTTCTCTGAGCTGGGAGCCTCAGCTGCAGCTTCCTCTAGAGTTGCCCCAGGTCCCTGCTGTTCTGTCCCACCCTTGCTGGTTTCGGACACAGCTCTATCCACTTGCTCAGCTATGGCTTGTTGAATGGCATTCTGCACCAGGAGACCAGCCTGATATTCCAAGGGGTCATCAGCCGACGGAGAGTCTCCCAGCGTGGACGAAGGGGAATAGAAACCGTGATCGCTAAAGGACTTGGAGACGCCTTCTCCTCGGCCTTCCGAAGGGTTGTCAGTTTGTGGAGTCTGGGGCAGGGAAAAATCAGCCAGTGAATTCTCCTGGAGGGCATTGGTTGTCTCATTGGAGGCCCCGCTGTCACTGATGTTGTCCATGCTAAAATCATTGGACAGGGTCTCCAGGACGGTGGTATCCTGGGACCTCACCGACAATTCATCCAAACCAGAGTCAAGCTCCTCTTGGGTCAAAGAGACATTAACTGACCTCGAAAACTGATCCAAGATCCCAGGGTCGTCATCCTTGACCACAGTGAGGACAGCCCGGGCACTGGTAAACTCCCCATCCTCTGCCCACAGTTTGGATAAGGGCCCGCGTTTGGAAGGCTCACTGTAGGGCCCTTCCCTCCCCTGAGGAGCTGTGCTACCCTGGCCTCCCCCCGCAGGCTGGCTCTCCAGGGCACAGCTGGCTTTCTGCTGCCCCTTGGCTGTTGATGCACCACTGTCTTCTGGAAGCCCCCCGACAGAAGCTGGTCTCGAGATGGTCAGTGGTTTGTCTGAGTGGATTGACCCCAGAGGCCTATAAAAGGGCTTGATAGAGAAGAGCCTAGGTGTACTCTGGCCCTTGGCCACTGCTTGCCTGGAACTCTCCATGAGCTGGAACTGTTTGCGAGCGGCAGAGAAGTCTATCTGCTCAGTGACGATGTCCTCCTTGACGTTTTCTGCTGCGCCGGCCTGGTCGTGGGAGGCCGCGGGGGCTGCGCAGAGCTGGGCTGGGGGCGGCTGCTGCTGTTGCATGAGGAGCTGCTCCTGCTGCGCCCTTCTCTGCTTGCGCTCCTTGTACTTTTTGTGCGACTCCAGATGTTCGTCGTCCAGCTGCTCCTCAATGGTCTTTTCCTGGGGAGGATTCCACCATTTCGCCGCAATGCCAGGATTCTTCTTCACCGCCTGGCTCCGGATGAGTTCTCTCCTTTCCTTTTCCAGCTCCAGCATCTCTTCCGAAGGCCTCACTTTTCTGACACAGTATTGCTCCTTCTCATTGTCATCGTCCTCAAAGAGCTTGGAGGGCTTCTTGTCCTCGTGGAAGGCACGCAGCTCAAACTTGGCCTCCTTCTTCAGCGTGGTGAGCGTGAGCTCCCCCTCCCGGCCGGAGCACCGTGAGCTGGTGGAGGAGCTGGGGCTCACGGGGGCTTGCAGGCCGTCCCCCAGCAGATCCTGGGGCTGGTCAGGGGAGTGGCCGTTGGCTTTTCCACTCTCGGCCATGGTGTCAGGGTTGCTTGTACTGAACTCGATGTGAGGAGGAACCTGTCTGCCAGCTACCCTCTCCGTGGGTTCCGGCTGGATGGCTGTGGGGGGGGGTGGGCTTCGAAGGCTGCCCACAACTACTACTCCAGGCTCTGGGGACGATGTGCCGTTGTACGCTGCTCCGTCCACAGCAGAATCGCAGCAGCTGGCCTCCAGCACCTCGTCTAGATAGCGGATCTCTCTGGCCACATCGTTATCCAGAGATTCATGGTGATCAGTGAGGAGGCCATTGTGGGGGGGAGAGTAGAAAGGGGAGGGATGGTCTATGGAAGGTGGGGTAGAGGTGATTCCAGGAACACTTTTACATTCCGCAACAGAGACTTCAATTTCCATGTTTTTGTGATCTGGAGGAAGGGAGCTCGTTGCAGGCTCCAGAGCTTTGACGCTGCAATTGTCTCTCTCGTTTTTTAGCCGGATATCATCCTCAGAAAGGTGGGGAGGCTTCTGAAACAGGAACAACAAAGGTCAGGGTTAGATATTAAATCTCTTATGGAGGTGAACCCTGAGAAATTAACTGGTAACTCACTACAAGAAAAACTGAAGCAATGACAAGTTCTTTCGAACAGAGATTTCTCTTCTAATAATTCTTCACACATTCATTTTTTTGTGGTAATTCATGCATCAGCTTCTCGATGTTACAGATTCTGCTTTGTTGACTGGGTGTCCAGAGAACGTTCAATAAATGCCAGTCCCATCTTTAAGTTTAAAAGTAAATTAGGACTCAGATCATTTGAAGACATTGCTCAAATGCCTTCTAAAGTAGAAAGGATTATACAGCAATTGTGCCAGAACTTAACAAAATATTTTAATAGCGACCTACTGCAGAAACGGAATAGGACTACTTGTGTGTCCCCAACAATAGTAAGATGGTCCTTGTGCATGAGCAGTTCTTACTGAAATCCTCTGCCAGATGTAATGCAATATTTCTGGAGACAAGAAACTTCTTGGAAAAATTTTCCAAAATAAAATACTGGAAAACAGTACGTTCCTTCAACGGCCCCTTAACAGCTACAGAGCCCCACTGCTAGGGCTCTTAATTGACCACATACATTCAAAACACCATAAGCAAAGCCACTGACTGCATAGTTCTGCTCTCTGGGACTCCATCAAAACAATATTCCTTAGCTAAGGAGTGAGTGTCGCTTTGAAAAGTCAGTGGCCAGCAGCTCTTTTCCAGTTCCTAAAATGCTCTATATGTGATAGTTCTAATCTTATTGTTCAATAAGAAAAAGCAAACCTTCTTGATGTTTCGAAATAAATCCTATATTTTCACCAGTTACGAATCCCATGTGATTTTGTTTTTGGCATTAGTGAAATTAATTTTCAAATTCCAGGAGGATTTTTTTTTTTCCTACCCAAGGACTCTGGTTTATCTCAGATAATTCAGTGGTAAACTATGAGCTTAATTTGAGTGTCCCTCAAGAATTTCACTCACACCTTGGTCAGGTTTGTCTTTCTCTCTGGAGTCTAACGTATGCCTAGCATTATTGACATAATACAATGCAAAACAGGATGGTATCATTTTCACTTGCACCAGTTGTAAATAATTTTTAAATCTTAGAACATAATATTAAAACACCGCCTTAGGCTAGTTCTCAGGGGATTCATTTCAAAATGCTTCCAAGGAACAAAATGTGGATTTGTTCATGAGACCTAGAACAGCAGGTGTGCTCTGCACAGAATGCTCTGTCAGAATGCTGAAAACTCTCATGGTCATCCATGGGCTGGAAGGTCATCCATGACCTGAAAGGTCATCCAAGAACAGGGGGTTTCCTTCACTCTTCATTTTTTACATTCCCCTTTCATCTTAAAACAATCGAATAATATATGTTCCTTCTTTAGTAATAGGTGACAACGATTCCTTTGTCAATAACTTCTGGTCTTGGATGACCTTCCAGTCCACTTCTGGTCTTTGTCCAAGTCTGGTCCTTTAATACCATTAGTATTTATAATGCTAATATCTTTATTTTATTTTATTTTATTTTTACCATCATTAACTAATGGGTCTTTTTAGAATAAAATCAAGAAGCATGTCAAAGACATTTTACTGCCTTTTAAAAACATTAACTAGACTTTCTTTTGGTAAGACAATTGCCAATAATGTCTATGTCATTAAGAATTACAGTGAAAAAATTCAGTTTTATGTTATTTATTTTGAGAGAGAGAGAGAGAGAGAGGGAGAGAGAGAGGGAGGGAGAGAAAATGAGTGGGAGAGGGGCAGGGAGCAAGAGAATCCCAAGCAGGCTCTGAGCTCTGCACCAATCCTGACTTGGGGCTTGATCTCATGACCAGGAGATCATGACATGAGCCAAAATCAAGAGTAGGATGCTTAACCGACTGAGACACCCAGGCACCCCAAGAATTACAGACAATTTGAATGCCTGATACTTACTGGCTGCCATTCAATTTCAAATAAACCTAGGTGAGAATTAGGCCACTCCATGGCAAGCTATTACTGGAATAAACAGACCAACAAAAAGAGACACAAAGCACTGCTACAGTGAGAGATTATGTGTGAATCTCTCACCCCAGCTTCATTTGGCCAATGATTTACCACTAACATTCTTCATGGGAATAAGTAGAGCTTTTTTTGTATCCCTTTTGGCTTTTGGGGGTGGAGGAGGGAAGATAGGAAAATGAGAGGAAGCTGCTGGAACTGAAATGTGGTTGAAAATCACTGCTCTATGGAACATGAAACATTTTAGAGTCGTTGACATAAGAAGAAAGAGGGCAATGTAGCATTAAAGGAAGTTAAAAGGCAAATGACTCATTCTATAGCTCATTTAGTCATTAATCCATTCATTAAACATGCAGGAAGCTTATTTTGTAGGGTCATAATGAGATTAGCAGCAACAATAAGCTCCAGGAGACACGTTTTTCTTAACAAAAATTGGACTTCTTAGGAAGCCATAAGTCTATTTTGGAGTTTATTTAGGCTGGTCAGGAGGGGTGAAAAACTTGCCTATAGTTGTCCTCTGCTGCTAGTCACAAGAGACAGGAGGCCCTGAGCCCACCTCCACAACACTGCCCACGAGCACGCTGTCTCTTTCTCCTGGGTGCGTCCATTCAAGTGCTGGACGATGGACAAGCAGATGCCCTTCTAGCCTTTTTTATTTCTTTTAGAACTTGAAAAGTATACCAACTCTTTCCTAGGCATACTTTCTGAAGCCGCAAGTGTCCGAATTTTCAAAGTCTGAGAATAGCTTCTGACAATACATTTTTGCAATGTCAAAAAGACTATCATTAGCTTTCAGTCAGAAAGGATGAGTCTCATTCCCTGAATGTCTTCTATGATGTGTCAAACTAAGATTTTAAGAATGCTAATTACTGACTAAAAGTCAGAGTCTGGAGTCCCAATGTACTTAGATATGAATCCTTTCCAATACACTTGTGTAAAAAATCTAGGCCCTGGAGGGTGTAAACAGGAAAGTGGCTCCCTCCTTCCTGTTATAAGGGGGAGGGAGCTTCTTTCCATAAATTCAGAATATTTTTCTTGACACTCAGTTCCATGTACTTCAGAGAGTAGAAGCTCTACACCCTAATCAGGGTAGAAATAATTAAAGAGATAACCCTGAGTTACTGGTTCACAATCATGCCTCAGAGATCCTGAGTTTCTGTAAAGTTAGGCAACAGTTATAACAAAGGAGCAAATTCCTGAGTTCTATTCTCAGCTGGATGAATTCCCCTTCACACAAGATGGCCTGATACAATCAAAGCCACCTGTAAACTAAACCGGGTAAATGGAAGTGGGCTGGAAGAAAATCCCAGAGTACAGATTTGGCAGGAATCTGGTCTTGGTGTCATTAAATGATGTCTTGCTTAAGTCAAGAAGTGCTCATTGCTCCCTCTGAAGATGAAAATGACTAGAATTTTCTCCATGCTTCAGATAAGGTGAACCTGATTCCAGAATCAGATAAAATGCACATTGGTTAAATGAACTGGAAAGTCCTTCTCAAATAAACTGTGCCTCAATGCAAAACAAAACAAAAACAAAAACAAAACTGAGCAAACTGGATTTTCAAAGGGTTCTAGGGGGCACTCTCTTTGGGCTGCCCCCACGAACCCTCAGGTGGAGTCCTCGTGGATCACGACACATAATACCTGCCAGCCTAGTGGCTTCCCAAAATAGCTAATACCTGGTCAGGATATCTACTACTCACTCTAAAATATGTAGGTAGAGACAATTTAATACAGCTGTGTGTGTGTGTCAGAAATTAGTTTAAATTGCATTCAGGGGCAGATAGCCCTTCTAACTGGGAATATACACTCTAGTAGTGGTCAACCAGGATCTAATCAGAAATTCCAGGCTCCATAGGTGGCTTTCTTCCTGGGCAGTTTGGCTCTCTTTAACTCCCACGCCCCCCCCTGAGGCTTTGCCAACTGGTATAATTAAGGTGAGAAATGGGTTTTCATCAGTAAAATTAGTGGCTTGTCAATTACCATGATAAAAGTGAGAAATCTGGTGAAATTGGTGGTGTTCACATTTGCAGATTAGAGATGTTCTCCATCCTTTCCTGAATAGATTTACAAACAGAGTGAGCAGGGCACGGGAGGGGGGCTGTCCACCCTTAGGGATGGTGCTTCGAGCCTAAAAGCCAAATGCTTCTTTCTCCAGCTTTGGGTTCAGAGGACTTGAATGGTTTAACAACCATTATAGGGTAAGGGAATCCTGCCTTGTAAAACTACCACATCTGTCTTCATGCAAGGTGGGGCTGGAGCATCTAGAATCTTCAGGACATGGGGTTTCTTTGAGGTTACAGACAGGTTTTATGCCTCCTTTTACAAACGTTTATTTATTAAATGTCTGTATGAGTGCCAGAACTCAGTGCAAGACCTGCTTTTAAATGTTTTTTAATGTTTTTTATTTATTTCTAGGAGAGAGAGACAGAGACAGCGTGAGCAGGGGAGGGTCAGAGAAAGAGGGAGTCACAGACTGAAACAGGCTCCAGGCTCTGAGCTGGCAGTCAGCACAGAGCCCGACGCGGGGCTCGAACCCACAAACCGCGAGATCATGACCTGAGCGAAAGCCGGACGCTTAACCGACTAAGCCACCAGGGTGCCCCAAGACCTGCTTTTATTATAACCTGGTAGCCAGGTTGTGTCTCAAGCTGCCGTTATTTACCAAAACATGTTTAACAGTTACGCAAAACAAATTAGCATGGGTTAATTAACAATATGGGTGCCCCGTATCTCCTATGAAAGTTCTGCCAGACCCTATGCAAGACAATCATGGGACTCTTCTTGGGAGACTATAACTCCTTTGTAAGCAGGACTTGTAACAAGATCTCTCAAATCTGTTTTGAGAATTAGAGTAGATAATGTGTTTAAAAGCACTATGTAAACTGCAAAGTGTTTAATGCAAGTGTTCCTTATTATCAAGCAATGTTACACTGAAGTGTAAATGACCATTATTAAATTCTCTCTGGGAGCTGGTTGACTACTTT